GTGCCCCAGGGCTCTGTTCTGGGCCCAGTGCTCTTCAACATCTTCATCAATGATTTGGACGAGGGGATAGATGGGGAACTCATCAAATTTGCAGACGACACCAAGCTAGCAGGAATAGCCAACACTCCAGAAGACAGGCTTAGGATACAGGAGAATCTGGACAGATTTGAACACTGGGCGCTATCTAACAAAATGAAATTCAATGGTGAAAAAAGTAAGGTTCTACATTTAGGCAAGAAAAACCAAATGTATAGGTATAGTATAGGGGGTACCTTGCTCAATAGTAGTAACTGTGAGAGGGATTTCGGAGTCCTTATGTGCTGCAGCTGCCAAAAAAGCCAACACAGTGCTACGCTGCATTAACAGAGGGATAGAATCAAGATCACGCAAAGTATTAATACCACTCTACAATGCCTTGGTAAGGCCACACTTGGAATACTGCATCCAGTTTTGGTCACCACGATGTAAAAAAGATGTTGAGACTCTAGAAAGAGTACAGAGAAGAGCAACAAAGATGATTAGGGGACTGGAGGTTAAAACATATAAGGAAAGGTTGATGGAATTGGGTATGTCTAGCTTAATGAAGAGAAGGACCAGGGGTGACATGATAGCAGTGTTCCAATATCTCAGGGGCTGCGATAGAGAAGAGGGAGTCAGGCTGTTTTCCAAAGCGCCTGAGGGCAGGACAAGAAGCAATGGATGGACACTAATCAAGCAGAGAAGCAACCTAGACCTAAGGAGAAACTTTCTGACAGTTAGAACAATTAATCAGTGGAACAACCTGCCTCCAGAAGTGGTGAATGCTCCAACACTGGAAGTTTTTAAGAAGAAACTGGACAGCCATTTGTCCGAAATGGTATAGGGTTACCTGCCTGAGCAGGGGTTGGACTTGAGGACCTCCAAGGTCCCTTCCAACTTTATTATTATTATTATATCCAGTATGTTCTTGTTCATGGTGAGCAACATCATATGAAACATGCAAAAGATAAGAAAAGGCAAGCAAAAGAATTTAAGGGCATAACATAAGGAGTAAAAAACAGCTAAATAAACTGTATTACCAACACCATTCAATATACTTGATACTTTTTCTATCTTACAAGCCATACGTGCTTGTACTCTATTGCCTTTTATCTTTCAGTGCAAAAAGTTTATATTTTATTTATTTATATAAAAGATTTATATGGTTGCCTATCTTAAGAAACTCTGGGTGGCTCATAACAATAAACCCTGTAACTATGAAACAGTCATAAAAAGAGTAAAACAATATAACAAAAATCTTGCTTTGAGAAAACAATCATTCTCATTGTTGTGAATGATTCCGGCTGTTTGTGATTCTGGACATCATTGGGCTTCAATGTTTTGCTTCAATAGCAAACTCATAATATCTAGATTACCACTTAAACACCATTGGCATTAACAAAATTACCATGAATTAATTGCAAAAGTCACCTTTACTTGGAAGTAATTTCCTGCAGAAATTACCATGAACAGAATCAAACAACATCTGCCTATCCCAGGTCTTTGGGAAGGACTCAATAGGTGGATAAAAATGCCAAATCCAGTCTAAACATCTGGCTATATGACATAATAATTACTATTTATTAAATTTATAGGCCTCCTAATTCCCAGTGACTCTAGTTAACATGTATCTATTGAGTAATATTACATAAAAATATAACTTGGAGATTACATTAAAACAATATATTTCATGTGCAGCCAGAATATAAAAAAATACATATAATGTGGCCCTTTATCTGAACAAAACAATACAGTTGAGAAATGCATATGTGAATCTGATTGGGGTAAACTTTAGGAGTCAGAAATATGATCTGCATTTATTTTATTGATGTCTTTTATACTGTACACTATGATCTTATTACTATTTTTATTTCATATTTTGATATGGCCTAATAACTAATCAATTATTTATCATTAGTAGTATTATGAAGATTAAGGTGATTATGACATCCAACTGTATTTTCCCCTTTTTCAGAGTGGAAAAAAATGAATTGTTGTTGGAAAAGTTTAGTAGATTTAGGAGGGCCAGAGAATTAAAATGTAATCCAGATAAGATAAAGATGCTTTAGACAGAGATATATTAAAAATAAAATGAAGTACGTTCCAAGCTTAGTAGGAAATAAGTTGTCATGGTTACATGATTAGGGCAGAAGGTAAGCTTCTCCTTCCTTCCTCTCTCTGTCTTTCATTATTTGTACTAAAAAAAAACCTTAATCCAACCATCAACATAGATTAGAAATGAGAATATTCAGGTTCAGTTTGAACAGAGGTATGCTGGCTGCATCACAACTAATTCTAATGCTAACTAATATTAGAAACATTTGTTAACAAGGAGCAATGGAGTATGTTCAGGACATAAAAACCTCACAGCCAATCCCTCTTGACATAAATTCATTTTTAAAATATCGGAACTGATTATGTTTCTACTGTATATGTATGTATGGATTGATGGGTGGATCATCCACTATGTCTGGGATCCAAATACAATATTTCAAAATATATTTTAATTTAATTTAATTTCAGAATATCTTATAGGATTTTTGATCTCTTTCTTTGTGCAGAAAACTCAATCGTATATTTTTTCCTAAAATAGTTAATTCAAGTGATTATATTTTTTCAGCATGTTGCAAGGTTGCAAACTGAAATACTATATAACTATGAACATTAACAGGAAACCACTCAATACTAATTCTTGAATTAATTCTGATTGCATATTGCTATGCATCTGTCTCTTGGTCATTTATGCATCTATTAAGCTATACATGTAGTCCTTGACTTAACAATCACAATTGGGACTGGAACCTTGGTCACTGAGTGTAGTGTTTATTAAGCAAGAAACATGTGACTACTTTACTGAGTTACCACAATCCCAGCACTTCAGGTTGCAGTTGTTAATCAATCCCACAGGTTGTTAAGAAGACAAAATCACAAGTAAAAAGTTCAGGGATGTCTCAGGGGCAGGAGAGGCTCTGGGAAGCATGGTGCAGGCTGTACACAGTTTGGAGCAGGTGCTTCAGTGCAACAAAAAGCTGCTATGAACTTCAGCTACTCCATAGCCCACTAGTTTGTGCAAATCCTTCCACAGCCTGAGAAGCCTCAGCCTGCTCCCTGGCCCACCAGACCTGGGAGGGCTTGGCTTGTTCTCTGGCTCACTAGAACACGCAAAGAGCTGCCTTGACATATAATAATAATAATAGTAAAGTTGGAAGGAACCTTGAAGGTCATCTAGTCCAACCCCCTGCTCAGGCAGGAAACCCTATACCATTTCAGACAAACGGCTGTCCAGTCTCTTCTTAAAAACTTCCAGTGTTGGAGCATTTACCGCTTCTGGAGGCAGGTTGTTCCACTGGTTAATTGTTCTCACTGTCAGGAAGTTTCTCCTTAGTTCTAAGTTGCTTCTCTCCTTGATCAGTTTCCATCCGTTGCTTCTTGTCCTGCCTTCAGGCACTTTGGAGAATAGCTTGACTCCTTCTTCTTTATGGCAGCCCCTGAGATATTGGAACACTGCTATCATGTCTCCCCTCTTCCTTCTCTTAATAATAATAATAATAATAATAATAATAATAATAATAATAATAATAATAATAATAATAATAATAATAATAATAATAGTAAAGTTGGAAGGGACCTTGAAGGTCATCTAGTCCAACCCCCTGCTCAGGCAGGAAACCCTATACCATTTCGGACAAATGGCTGTCCAGTCTCTTCTTAAAAACTTCCANCCTTAGTTCTAGATTGCTTCTCTCCTTGATTAGTTTCCACCTGTTGCTTCTTGTCCTGCCTCCAGGTGCTTTGGAAAATAGCTTGACTCCCTCTTCTTTATGGCAACCCCTGAGATATTGGAACACTGCTATCATGTCCCCCCTCGTCCTTCTCTTCATTAAACTAGACATACCCAATTCCAGCAGCCGTTCCTTATATCCTTTAGCCTCCAGTCCCCTAATCATCTTTGTTGCTCTTCTCTGCACTCTTCATTAAACTAGACATAGTTTAATGACTAAACTAGACATAGCTTCATTGAGAATGTGCTGGTGGGCCAGGTTGGGGGGGGTATAGGCAAATGGGAGGAGCATTCCTTCAAGTCATGAGTATGGGTGGACCACCAAATATCTGAAAACACTTGACCCCAAGGGTATTGCAATGGCCATAATTTAGAGCAAAGGTCCCTTTGTTCAGCATCATCATAATTTAGAACAGTCACTGAACAAATGGCCAAGTCAAAGACCACTTTTATTCTCAGAATGGTTATGTTCCTTTTTTATTAGTTTTCAACTATTTCTTCTTTCTTGGTTGGGATGGAAGGAAGGTGAGCTAGAAAGGTATTTTTTGACATTATGTTCAGTTTAGAAAACCTTACAATATTTTAAAATAATATGTTGAATTTAGGTTGTTAAAATTAAAATCTTGGTCAAATGAATTGTTGAAGTAATAATAGAGACCATCAGGAAATATATAGATCTAAATTGGACTGTGTAGTTTAAAAACGTCTCATAAGAAAGCAAAAACAGACCACCTCTGTGTCAAAAATAATGATAATCTTTTTTCCAGATGTTATTCCAAACAGATTCCACATGTTACATTTGAAAATCATGCCTGCTCAGAACATCTGCATTTAATTAAGTTAGTAAAAGTAATATTTATGAGTTAAAATGCATTTATCCATTTGCACTTTATAATCATCCATATATAGTTTTGTGACAGTAGGCATCAAAGTATTTCCAATAGTTGAATTAATGTATTTATAGATTTGATAGTCCAACAATGAACTAATCTGATCTGATTCTGAGATATTGAGCATTTCGAGATTGTTGCCCTTTTACCTTAATTAGAAATTAGTTGATACTGTGTTTTAAAAACAGTTTTTAAAAATTTCTAGCATCTGTGAAGCTTGTGCTAGTAATAATATTGAACAAAAGCCAAATACTGTAGAAATGAATTCTTTAGTAACCATTTTGAATGAACAACTGTACTTTCTTTTATAGATGAAAGGGAAGATGTTCAAAAGAAAACATTCACAAAATGGATAAATGCACAGTTCTCTAAGGTAAGAAAAATACTCATTTTGCATTAAAAAATAAAATGTAACTTATGAATAAATCATATTGTATAGTTATTATTTAAGGAGAAGATTAACCAGAATGATTTCAATCAGTATAGTTTAGTTTGTGTTAGCTTTGCTGGTTGGTTTCCTTCCTTGAATAATTTTGTAGAAAATGAATGCAAAACCAAATGAATACAAAGTAACAAAAGTGTAATATGTGAAAAGATTCTGAATACGCCACTATTTTCCAAATGATCATTCCTTTTATAATATAACATTTTTTAGCCAATGTGATACTATGTATTCATTGGGATATTATTTATGAATCAGATTAGGTTTTGAAACAAAAATTGAGTTTTTGTAGTCCAGTTGAGAGTCTTTATGTATTCATCTTGGAATAGTGAATAACAGAAATTTTTAAAAGTTAGAATCCATAGGTTAATTGTAATATGTTTATTAATTTTATTAATTAATATTTTTTCAGAAAAATATTTCTGTGCTTAGGAATATTGAATGGTTATGTGTCAAATGATTAAGAAAACAAACATTTATATAATAAATATATAATAAATTATAGATATAAGAAATTGTTTGCAGGTCTGAGTCTGGTGTGACTCACTGCTATGGTTTTGGAAATGGTTCTGGTAAAATCAGTATTAAATGGTGCGTTTTAATTGAAAACAGTGTTTTTTTGGGAGGAATGTTAGATCTGATTATAAGCTAGTTCTTTTAAGGAACAATCTTTTACTTCTCAGATATGGATATTGTCCTCTTTGATTCTGAGAATGAACCTCCTTCCCCAGTATTACAAAGAAGCAGTAATAAATTATTGTCTCAATCATAGAAGTGTTTATTTGAGTATTAAAAAACAGAATAGTTATAATAAAGACTAAGGGCCTCCTAGGTTCAGCTGTAGTAATTCAGACTTAAAATTTGTCATGTCTTGTTTGTGCAAAATAATGTTTCACTATGAGCGTTTCACTTTACTATTGTTTGCATATTGCCTTGCAAATATAGTAAGAATGTACTATCAGAAAAAATGTTTGCATGAAGGTATATTTTAAATAATTCAGAATTCCCTTTTTCATCTGTGTTATGAAATCCTAGAATTATTTCACTGACCAAGAAGTTGGAAGAAAGTGTAAAATACTACATGTTATGTATCTACATATACATACATACAGAGTACATGGCATACCTAGTATATAGAGTGGGGAGGCAGGAAATGCTATGGATCCCCTCTCCTAAGGAGATTCTTCTAGCAGGAACAAGAAGAAGGATATATTCCATGGTGGCTCCCTCCCTCTGGAACATCATCACCATGGAGATAATATTGGTCTCCCACTTTGACATTCTTTTACAAAACCCTGAAGACCTCATTTTCCCAATGGTCTGGGGACCCAGAGTAGGATGGAGCCCATCAAGTGACTTATTTGATTGATTGATTGATTGATTGATTGGTGTTTCTGGAAGAGGTGTTATAGCTTGTTATTGTTTTTATATTAGCTTTTTATCTTTGTAAGACACCTGGAATCATTGAGAGTAAGTTGGGCAGCCATATATACATTTTCTTAAATAAATAAAATATATTAGGAAAAGTTCTGCTTATGAAGACAATTCTTGATTGGATATTCTAAACTGAACATTCTAAAATGTATAATGTCTTGTGATTAACATTTTAGGTTAGATATTTCATTTACAGCTGCAGAGCAAAATATGCTGACATGAGGGGTAAAATAGGATATAAATTTAACACAAATAAATTAATGTCACCTTATCAAAAATGTGGAAAGATACACCTGTCTATAATTGTTCAAAGTAACCAGTCTTTGCTATTAGACTTTTGAAAGCATCTGATAGATCTAGAAATAAAGCTTTGGAGAGAGCATGATTGATTATATAACCAATCAATTTTTCAAGAAAAGAAAAGGGGAAAACAGATGTACACTATAAATTGTGGCTTATTAAAAAAAATTAAACTAGGGTAGGAAATGTAGTACATTCAGACAGCAATATACCAAACTCTCAAAAGCTACATAGTTGTTAAATCCAGGAAATAAATATCGCACAGATATCAGAAAGCCATGCCAGTTAGAAGTTAAAAACATAATCTTGAAAACTGTAAATGTTTTCTTAGGCAGACTTAGCAAACTAATGAAGGTGGACTCTTTTTAAATGTTTCCTTCCCATTGTCCCATGTATGGGTTCTGCTGCCTCTTTTCACATCAGTTTTAACCAGGGGTGTCCAACTTTGGGAACTTTGGGAACTTCAACTGGTGGATTCTGGGAATTGAAGTCCATAAGTCTTAAAGTTGCCAAGGTTGAACACCCCTGGTTTAACAATAATCAGACATGTTTTAATAGAAAATTATTGTATCTTGAAGGCAAGATAGCTTGATAAAATGTAAATTATTTTCTTTAACATACCCACAAAAACAAGCAAGGCTAATATTACCCCAGAGTAATTTATCAAGGAGAAATCTTTTTTAACTTATTCAAACAGTGTCTTCTCTGTTAATAATTCTAGTAATTAGCGGTAGAAATTATAAGAAGTTAATTATAAGGGTCATAAGACTGATCTTCGTGCTAAAGATAATTAGTCAGATTAATTTGCTTCAATTCTTCCTCATTTGTTCAAAGTTACCCTATGTTAAATAGCATAAAAACTTCAGGTTTTTTACATCAGCTTTCATTCTAATAATAATGCTTTTTTATATTAGGCATGTGCTTCTTTAAAAATCACTTTAATTTATAAGTATCTTGGAGGAACCAAAGCAACAAATTTAATATAGCTCTCCAGTATTGTGAATATGTCTGATTTGTATACATAGATATACTGCATACTATTGCCCTATTATTAGAGCTTATGTGCCAAATCTAAACATCTTAAATTTTAAACTGTAAAATGTGAAAGAATTTTGCCATGGTTTTCCCAGTTGCAATGTATGGATGTGAAAGTTGGACCATAAGAAAGGCTGAGCGACAAAGAATTGAGGCATTTGAACTATGGTGCTGGAGAAGATTCCTGCAAGTCCCTTGGACTGCAAGGTGTTCAAACCAGTCAGTCCTAGAAGAGATCAACCCCAACTGCTCTTTAGAAGGCCAGATCCTGAAGTTGAAACTCAAATAGTTTGGCCACCTAATGAGAAGGAAAGACTCACTGGAGAAGAGCCTAATGCTGGGAAAGATTGAGGGCAATAGAAGAAGGGGACGACAGAGAATGAGGTGGCTGGATGGAGTCACTGAAGCAGTAGGTGTGAACTTAAATGGACTCCAGAAGATGGTAGAGGACAGGAAGACCTGGAGGAACGTTGTCCATGGGGTCGCGATGGGTCGGACATGAATTCGCAATTAACAACAACAACATTTATAAACAGAGAAGGAGCAAAAAAATATTTTGATAACTTTTTGTGCATATAAAGGTAACACAGGATACATTTTTGTATCTTTTGAAGTACTATAGTTTTGAAATGGAAGAAGAGAAAGTAATTTTGCTACTGTCATTATCTTCATCTGAGACTATGCAACCTCTACATTTTATGTATTGTAAGATAGAATATAGAGAGAATAATATGTACCTCCTCTAATTGTTGTTTTTATTTTTCGTCCTTACTTTTTCATTATTGTTAGTCAATTTTCCATGCAACAAAATGTAGTAGGACAAGTAAACTGAATGAGAATCTCTATAGACATTTAAATTGAACGGAATATATCCTGTACTATTAAATATACCTACCTTCACTTATAGGCGACACCATCTTTTTATATAACATCCATGGTGTCAGCTCTCCTATCAGGAAGTAATATGTGTAAAACTCACATCTATGAGTTCCAGATGAGTATGGAGTTCATATGAAAACTTAGTTATTATTCTGCAAAAAGTATTAGTTTTCTTAAGCTTTTTATTTTACAGCAAATAATTCTATTAAGACAGTCACATTCCCAATCATATAAAATATGCAAAATAGTTTGAATTTTCCTAATAAATCACCTAAATGGCTCAATCACTATGAGCCCTTCCTGTTTTCTAGATGTTTTAGATTACAAATAATAATCTCAGAGAAAAAAAGATTGCATCAAAACCATGCACAATATCTTTACTCTTCTGTGTACTTTTAATCCTCATACATTATGTGATAAACAAAATTTGAGGTTTCATTTGTACATACATTAATTAGCGTATGCACTAATTGCTGTAAATATACATTATTCATGTTCTATCTGTAAAACTGGTACTAACTGATAACCCTATTATTTAATGAAACTATTGTGTGCCAATAAGCTATTCAGTTATATCTTCATACAGATTACGTGTTTTTATAATTTTCCTTCAATTCATCTTGTAGAGAATTAACCTAAACTTTTTATTTTTCCTCTAGTTTATAGATAACTATGCAGAATTATAGCTTAGACAATTAAGAAAATCTATTCTTATGAGCAAGTTATTTTCTGTTATGATCTTTCAGGAAGAGAAAAAATAAGCCATTTACAGATTTCATCTACAAATAAGATGATGACTGGCTGTAAAAAAAAATCTAAAATCAATATTAGGACAATATATTTAGAGAGAGAGAGAGGGAGAGAGGGAGAGAGGGAGAGAGAGAGAGAGAGAGAAAGAGAGAGAGAGAGAGAGAGAGAGAGAGAGAGAGAGAGAGAGAAAGAAAGAAAGAAAGAAAGAAAGAAAGAAAGAAAGAAAGAAAGAAAGAAAGAAAGAAAGAAAGAATGAATGAATGAATTTCTTAGTTCTGTATAGCTTTAAATTCTTAGGGTCCGTGAGAGAAGAAAAACAAACAAATGAAGAAACAAAACCCATGGAGTTAATTTTAGATACTACTAGACAACCCATGTGTTGAGTTATTATTTCATATATATTTCCTTACCAGATTCCTTCCCCATCCCCTCAGAACTCTACAAATATATTAAGAAAGATGCAAAAGGCCTCACAAGGACCTACTTTTTTCCAATCAGGCTTAGAGTCAAGACAGAGATAGATACCTTTTTAG